TCAAAGCAAACAGCTTAAGAATCACTTTGTACTTGGATTTGTACCATTTGGTGTGTCTTTTAATGAGTTTATAAGTCTTTTTGCTGCTGAAATGAAACTTTTAGAAAGGGAAAAAATAATGGATGTGCAAGGCAATAAAAGCTTCATTATTGCAAGTATTGGAGATATAACTTCTGATTTGCCACAAGAAAATGATTTGGTTGGAGTCAAAAGACATAACGCTGCAAAGGGTTGCCATACTTGTAATATAGTAAAAGATTTGTGAACATCTGATAATATTGATTTATTTATAAGTTCTCATTATTAGCATCTTACGAATAAACAATTTAAGGAAATTCTTGCAGTATCAACTATAACAAATCAGAAAGAAGTTGCTTCAAGATATAGATTACACTTGTGTTTACTGATATTCAATGAATTACAATAAGAGAGTTAGCTTCAATTACTACATGATTTATATCATGCTACAGCCAGTAAAGTGTTAAGGCTTTTTAAATAACAATTAACACTTTTTTAATAGAAAGAAAATCTGCATTTATTGCAGTTTGGAAAGCATTTGAATATTCAAGAAATTGGTCTAAATTGTCAAATCTGATCTCCCATATTGATAGCTTTATGATGTCTGATTGCTTAAGATTGGCAATGATATTTCTTTTTATTCTTAATAAATTATTAAAGTTTAAAATTTTAAGCAATCTGAGATTTATAAATTACAACAATGGTTAGACCTTTCATGCAGTAATTTAGCTATAAAAGTCTGGCTAGATTGTTGGGTAATAGTATCAAAAACAATGACAATCTCATTCAAAAAGCATTTTACAAAAAAAGATTATGATAAATTGCAAGAATGTCTAGATAATGAAAGAAAAATCTTAGTACAGGTATTAATAAATTATAGTTGTTTCTTCAAAAATCATAATTATTTAATAATATATTTTTACTGGATAAAAATAGTCATTTGAAGACTTTGAAAATCTTCCAAATTTACATTTTAACTTTCATTTGACTCAGCATGCTAAAAATTATGCAAATTTATTAAACATCAGTGTGGGAACAAAGGAAATGATATACAGAATCTTTAAAAATATTGTATTATGAACAAATAAAAAAACATAAACTTGGATCTATTAAAATACTATAACATTGTTTGCTATACATCATTGGCTAGACGGAGGCATAGATATGCATTTTTTATTTTCAAATGATGGTTTTAATAACTTTTCACAAAATTTACAACATTTAATAAATAATTGGTTTGTTTTTGATAAGTCGAGTGATGTTGAGGATACTATAAATAAAGGTATGATTAATAACTTAAATAAATAAAAATAAATTTTTA